TTTCTCTTCAATTTCATCTTAGACCACTCTCCCCACCTGTAAAAATACTGCAGAAAGCTACCAAAAATAGTCTCTCAGTTCCTCAAATACTCTCCATCTCAAGCGTTTGCACCTGCTGTTCCCTGCTTGAAATATTCTTTATAAAGCTAGATCCTTCTCATCTTTTAGGTCTCAGTCCAAATGTTACCACCTCAGAAAGGCTTTCTCCAACCTGTAAACCAGCCCTTCCTCAAACAGAAAAAATTGTTCTCTATTTTAGTCACTTGTATTTTCTTTTGTAATGCTTTTTTCTCTGGGAAAATTTTTAAAAATTTTTGTGAAATAATCTTTTTTCAAAAGATTGTATTTATTTATTTTTGGAGAGAGGGGAAGGGAAGGAGAAAGAGAGGGAAAGAAACATCAATGTGTGGTTGCCTCCCATGTGGCCCCCACTAGGGACCTGGCCTGCAACCCAGGCATGTGCCTTGACTGGGAATAGAACTGGCAACACTTTAGTTCACAGACTGCGCTCAATCCACTGAGCCACACCAGCCAGGGCTCTGGCAATATTTTATTTGACGATTTATTTTCTATCTGTCTCTACCCCCAAAATAAAAGCTGCATAAGTATAAAAACCACATCTGTCACATTCTTTGCTGTGTCTCCAGTGCCTAGCATAGCAGCAGGCTTGCAGCTAGCAGCAAATCTGTGCCAATCTTTGTTCTAAGCACTGGGAACACAGCAATGAACAAAACAGATAAAAATCCCTCCCTCCTGAAGCTAGTATTTTACTGGTTACTTAAATAATAAACTAAGTAAATTATATAACATATTCAAAAGTGACCTGTGCTGTGGAAAAATCGAAAGCAGGGAAAAACAGGCAGAACCATAAGGTTGCAATTTTAAATATTAAGTCAGGGAGAACTCACTTGAAAAGGTTGTATTTGAGCCAAGATCTTAAAGAAGTGAAGGAGACATCATCCCAAGAAACGAAATAAGTGCTAACAGCCTGAGTGTACACTCTGCCTAACATGTTCGGAGGGTAGCAAGTTCAGTATGACTGGAACAGAAAGCACCGCAAGGAAAATAACACATGAGGTCAAAGTAACATGGGGACTGAAACAAGGTTTGCTGGACACTATAAGGACTTTGGTTTTATGATAAACAAGATGGGAATCTCCTGGAGCATTCTGGGTAGAGAAGTAGCATGAGGTGAATTACATTTTTAAAGAGATCACTTTAGTTGTGTTAAGAACAGAGTTTTTGGGAGGAAGGTAAGAGTGGAAGGAAGGAGGCTAGTTTGGAGATTACTACACTGCAATTACACAGGTAAGAAGAGATGATGGTGTCTTAGTGGAGACAATGAGGCATGGTCTGACATTGTATATATTTTGAAGACAGAGCCCATGGAATTTTCTGACAGACTAAAATTTGGCATATTAGAGAAAGAAACATGTCAAGTATACTTCTGAAAGTTCTGACCTCAACAACTAGAATAAATAAGGTGCCATTTACTATGAAGCTAGGAAAGCCTGTATAGGAACAGTAGGTTTGCCAAGTATATCAAGAGTTGAGTTCAGCCACACAGGATTTGGAATATCTAGTTGACAATCAAGTGGAAATGTAGAATGTGTAGCGCAATATAAAATATAGAGGTCTGGGTGTAAGATAAAATTTGGGGAGTCACTTATGTGTGTACATTTTTGTGTGTATGTATTTAGTATATAGAACTAAATGATCCAAGAGGTAAGTAAACAGAGAAGTCTAAGGCTTGAGCCTGTACTGTAACATTTAGAGGGAAAATGAGAAAGAGCCAGCTTGCAAAACTGAAAGGAACGACCAGTGAGACTGAAGGTGAATCAGGAAACTGGTATCCTGAAAGCAAAGTGAAGGAAGTGTTCCCAGGTCAGGGATTGATCAACCCTGTCAAGAAGGATGAGGACTGAGAATTGACCGCTGGACTTAGTCATTTTCAACTCTATCCTTTGTTCTCTGTGCCTATCAAAACCTGCCTTGTTAAGTCAAAATCCATTTGAAGTTACACCTTCTTTAAGAAACCTTCCTAGACTGGGCCAGCCCTAACTAATTTCCTTCCTATCAGAACTCAAACTTAAAACCCATACTATACAAGTATGCATTCACTTATCTGTTTTAGCTGTTTATGTTGCATTTCACATACATTGATCTGGATACCTTAATTAAACTATAAGCACTCTGAACGTCAAGAACTCTTATTCTTACATATTACTAAAATGCTAAGCACAGCACTGAGTATTCTCAACACATGCTTATTATCTGTGTAACTTAAGTATACAAAAACAGGGTTATATCAGAGAAAGTCCACCATCCACTCAGCCTAGTATGCATAATCCATGACTAACCAGGCAGTTGCATGTACTTGTACATGGTAGACAATAAATGTAAGGTGGAACACAGGACTACATGCATGCATGAATGGTGAATGAATAAAGGGCATCTTTTATAAGGTGGAGGAAAAGAGCACATTTTTGATGAATGTGAATGATTAACTTGAAGTTATAGGTCTTAAATTTGTTCTGCTGTAATCAAATTCAAACTACTTTATATACAGAATTTTGGCCCAAAGGACTGGGAAGGACACCAGGGTAGGAGACAAAATTAAAAGATAAACACTGATATCTCATACCATAGGCCCTGAGTGAAACTGGCACTCTATCTCCATCCATCTCTCATTTCTATATGGCTTCACTTTTTCCTACGACAGATGAGGTTCTCATTCATGGGAGAAAGAATGTCACTAGCACCCTCCCAAATTAACTTTAGAAAGAAGAGAGCATCTTTCTTTCTGCATTCATACATCAATTTCAAAGGATTCCGATTGTGTCTGCTTGAGTAACAGGCAATCATTGTGGCAACAGGGATGACCAGGCCTGGGTTTTAAAACTATAAAACTGATAGCCCAGCAACTACTCACAATAGAAGAGGAATGGTATCCCAAAATGAACATATACTGAGGTAACAAAAATTATAGATAGATTTTCTACCAGACACAACCTCCAATAACCCAATTTTAACGGTGATGATTCTATCACATTTTAAAATTAATGGGGAGGGCTGCGAAGGGATGGGAGTAAAAGGCAGAAAACTGTACTTGAACAACAATTAAAATAAAAAAAAATAAAAATAAAATTACATGACTTTTTACCCTGGTTGATATGGATCGGTTGGTTGGAGCATTGTCCTGTGAACTGCAAGGTAACAGGTTTGATTCCTGGTCGGGACGCAGGTCTAGGTTGCAGATTCAGTACCCAGTCAGGGTGCATACGAGACGTAACAGATCAATGTTTCTCTCTCTCTCATGGATGTTTCTCTCCCTCTCTCTCTCTTCTTCCCTTCCCCTCTCTCTAAAGTCATTGAGTATGTCCTCAGGTGGGGACAGACAGACAGACAGATAAATAAATAATTTGACTTTTTAAAAGCCAGCATTTGTTTTCAGCTATTGCTATTTCTACTTCTTGAAGTGAGACCTATTTGAAGCCCACCTAATTTTCTTAAGCTTCAAGTCATGCACCTTTATTCTAATATTGGGACACTTGTTTCATGAAGTCATACCTATTACAACTTTAAATTTTTAGTCAGACTTTGCTTGTTTTTTTTAAGTACTATTTTTTCTAAAGATTTTACTTATTTTTAGAGAGGGAAGGGAGGGAGAAAGAGAGAGACAGAAACATCAATGTGCGGTTCCTGGGGGTCATGGCCTGCAACCCAGGCATGTACCCTGACTGGAAATCGAACCTGTGACACTTTGGTTCACAGCCCGCACTCAATCCACTGAGCAACACCAGCCAGGGCTGTTTTTTTTAGATAGAATTATCCAAATCATTCTGGTCAGTCATCACAGAACAGCCTCTTATTTAGTCCATTGTATTTGAAGTTTCCATTCTTCAACATAATACTTTTTGAATAGTTAGACCAAACACAGTAAAGAAAATTTTTAGCACTCAGCATTTCTCTATTCCAGATGAACATAGTACCGGTATGAATCGCATGAAGTAAAAGATCAAACAAACGTCATATGGGAAGAAATTATGCAGGTAAATGAATATAGATGAAAACCTGGTATCTCAATTCAGCTTTGTTGCTTTCTACACGATAGTTGTTAGACATCAACTTCTAATAAAATTAAAAATGCATGCCGTTGTAGAAATGCCTCTGGAAAAAAGCCATCTACTAGTAAAGTTCATGGAAATAAAGTAGTAATTTAAGTTGATATTGTCTATTTCAGCTATTTTTAGGAGTTACATACATATTCTTAGTCCTAATCTAGGGTTATACTTCTGTGTATATTTATTTCACTTGGTGAGGGAAATTATGATACTGTGGTATCACAGGAACAAATAGCAAGAAGCAAGAGACTTGTGTTTAAAAACACTTTTGTTTCAGGTCTTTTTTTCTCTTTTTTTAACAAGGGTACAATATTTTCCACTGAGTTTGCAAAGCTTTCCTTAGAATACCATGTATTTGTTGGCTGATTTTTCCCCCTTCTTTTTGTCCACACTGAGATATTCAGATGATTGTCTCCAGGAAATCAGTCACAAATCTATAGTGATTCCTAAGTCCCTTTGCACAATGTAGATGCCATTAATCACACTACACAATTTTTCTTCAGGTGCATTACTTTGTCCTTACTACAGAAAAACACAAACATTCCTCTGGCCATTCATATAGCTTCAAAACATCTTCCTGCCATATTTATCTCCATTGTTTATTACCCAAAAGTCCTTAATGCCATCTTTATATTTAGAAGGATAATATAGTTAAAATCATCTTTAGATCTCTAATGAAATGTTAAACAATAAAACCAAAAACTACTTTTTCTGTTTATATTGTAATGAAAAACTATGTGTATTTTATTTTAAGCCAAAAATAAAACTATAACTTATGAAAACTCACATATACACAACTATTTTATTTTGTCCAAGGTTAAAACATACTAACTACTTAATAGACTATATAAGACAATACTTCAATCTTTACCATACCTCTTTTTTCAAGGAACAAAAGGCACACAATTTAATGCTTGCACAAAGCCACAATCAGGAACAGTGATCAAAAGAGATGATATCTGGAAATGAAGACCAAGATTTTAAAACTTTGATGGCAAAAACTACTAGTACAATATTTTTATACTCTCAATTCAGTTACGCTTCATATTAAGAAAAAATACTTCTCTGCACTTAGGCAAATAATCTATCATTGATACCCAGTGACAAAGTCATGAATTTACCAAGGTTAGAAAATTCAAAGCTTAGAAGGGAACTTAGAATCAACGTAATTCAATTTCTTCATTTATCACAAGACAGGGAAAATGAGTCTTGCCCAAATTCACAAAGCTAGAACTAGAATCTGGATCTAATTCCAACACAGCTATCCTACCACAATGGTATCCTTACACAATGGAGGGTATCCTACCCTCTTAATACTCATCTCTGATAGCTAACATCCCATGAAAATTGCTCACCACATGAAGCCAATACCCCATACAGAAGTGAGATAGTCATAGCCTTCACACCTTGGATCAGATAATTAATAAAAATTTCAACTTTATTATCATTTTTTCTTCTGTGTACAGTGCTCTGTAAAAAACTTTAGTCGAGTAACCTAAAAGAAACTGGGCAAGATTCAAATCTTTTATCATTTAAAAAAAGATGTATTAAGTGATGTACAGCACACAATGTTTCAATAACAATTCCAAACAGAAAAGTAAGCAATAAAGTACATTAAAGGGCATGTGTAAAGTATATATTAAAGACAAACTATATATTTATACTAAAATATATTCCTTCTGGTATGTTTCAAGATATAAAAACTTTGGGGATCACAGTATACTATTACCAGAAAGGACAGGATCTGAAGTGTTATAATGATAAAAACCTTGAGCAATTAAAAAGCTCATCCATTATCAATGTGTACAGTAGGTATTCTTGTTGTTGCTGCCCTTTAATTCTCCCATAAAACCAGATATAAAGTGCTTTGAACTGGTATTTATATTCACTCTGATGGCAACAATAAGAAAAAATGTGAAAGTGCAAAACAGGTTGTTAGACACCTATATTTTATACTGCCTTCTGCTTTTAACAATTTTCTAGGTAAGGAGCTATTATTTATGAGAATTTTAACAAAAATTAGCACGGTCTACTATCTTACCTACCCTATGAAATACCAACATCCTAAAAATGTTAGCAAAATGCAACGTCTTTAAGAGTTTCAGAATAACCCACTTGTACTGATTAGCAATTAAACTCTGAAAAAATGTTAACGCGTTTCACCCAATTTTAATGGTTTCTATCTATTCAACCGGAGGATATTAACTTCATAGTACATTCAAATCAGATCTCTTGCTGCATTAAACCCAATCGACAATTTAAACTGGGCCTAACACACAGCTATTCGAGTTCATGAAATTCCTACCCTAACGTACAGTTTGGTGTCTTCATGTTTCATCATTGGGGCAATCATAAAAACTTCAACATTCTTAAGAATTCCTTAAACATTGGTTTTATTTTTTTTTAGGAATTTTTAAACTTGTGATAGCCAAACATACCCAACCAATGTTTTTGCTACCTCAAACACTAGACGCCTCCAAATGTAAACCTATAAAGAAACTGAACCTTTAACTTTAGCATTTTGAACCTCAAAACTACCATATCTGTTTCGTTGGTCTACTGAGGAGGTACACATTTTACCTCATATACACTCACCCTATATATTTTCAACTGCCATGACTATCTAGGAAGAGACTACTTGACAATGAGGACACCATGTTAAGAGGAGACTCAAAATGGACCCTACAAGTGAGAAAGCCAGTTACAAAGAAATCCATCTGCCACGGGGTGTGGTTGAGGTTTGCAGGGAAGAGCGCTTTTGAACAACTCCGAAGAAGGAACGCGCGCCAGAGAACTGAGCATTTCTGCAAGAAAAGACAACCGAAGACCATAGACTGGACCCACAATGGGGACGCCGTCGAGTTGGGGTGCCGTGGAACTGCGAACCTACAGTTCGAGGGGCGCGGTCTGAGGGGTGTCCGTGTTGCCTCCACCAGCCCTGGAACCCTCCGAGTGGGTGCTTCGAGAGCCGCGCTCCCCGCTCTGTCCCAAACACCGCGCCCGATCCGCCCCTTCCTCCGGGGTTCCGCTGCCCCTCAGGCGCGCGGAGGCACACTATAGCCGCACTCTCGCTCCAGCTCCCAGGCTGTGGGGTCAGGGAAGAGTTGGAAAAGCCCGGACGTAAAACAAGTTTGGCTAGGGTTGGCGCTAGCAACCCGCAAGGGACCAAACTGAAAAGACCGACTTACCTAGAAAAACTTTGCAGCAAGTTAGGCAAAAGCACTGAATGGCCGGGACTATTTAACAAGAGCTTCCCAGCTCAAGAGGCGGATCCCTGAGCCGATTCGGGGGGGAACACTGACGCCCCACAAACTCGCCCTTTGCCCCCTAGCTAGCCCTCTAGAAGTCCAGGCATCCTAACAAGTCTGGGCAGCCCCGCTCACAGGGAATACCTGTCGTGGTCCCCATTGCCTGTGAGTCCCTGACGGCGGCCATTACACTTCCATCCGGGTATTGCCGAAAAGCCGATCGCCGCTCTACGGTGAGCGCTCGCTGCGGCGGATGGATCCGCGGTGCACCTGGAGCAAGCGGAAGAGGACGGAGGCCGGCAGGGCCCGCGCCTGTCCTAGCGAGCCTAGGCCATTGAGTTGGGCTGGCCGCTGACCTCTCAAATTGACGCGGTTGCCTGGTACCCGCCCCTGCAGAGACTCACTCTCCCCCTTTCCCCGCCAGTAGTTGGAGAGATCCTACTTCTAGTGGAATAGTAGACAAGCGTCCACTCTATGGTCTTGCTCTTCAGAGTAGACACCAGAAGCAGGAACTGTGCTATTGGCAAGCCCTTGGTGACTGGGAATGGTCTCAATCCTGAGATTTTAATCATTTCCGGCTTTGTAAATGGCGTCTCCCTACCCTTTGCTTCTGAGACGCACGTTTTTCCAGCCTTTGCAGCCCTTGTCAATGAAGGAAGATGCCACAAGCAGCTGTGGAAGACATAGTCAACTCAACACATGTACATATTTAATAACTGATCTGAAAACTGCCTTTACAACAGGGGAAGCCCTCATCCCCATCGAAGAATTCATCTGCTCTCATTCCTATCACAAGGGGGTTGGACAAAGAGGTCAATTAATATGACTGGGTTTCCCATAAAGACCAGTATGGCTCCTGGTTTCTCCTTCGGAGCATTTCTGAAATCCAACTTATTAACTGATTGAACTTTTGACATAAATTATTTTACCTTAAAAAATATGATAGAAACTGTAAAAACTGCTTGCAACAACAACAACAAAAACCAACTGGGGAGGAGAATTATACCAAAATATTAACAAGGAAACTACGATAAAATTTTTTTGTGTATTTTTATGTTCCACTTTTTTTTAGTAAGTATACATGGAGTTTATAATTGAAAAAATTGTTTAACATAAACATTTTTCATTCTCTTAGAGTATGCTTTTGAAAATATCGACTTGTAGTCATACACAAGACTTTCTCCATGCTTTAATAAAAAGTACACTGAAGTAACTTCACTTTGTGTTCAGGGAGCTTTCTTATCACTCACTCACTGTGTATGTTGATCTATGTGATTCCTACAGGAAAAGGCAAATGAGATGTAATGCACATTAGATATGCTCTCATATCCTCTGCTGGAATGCCCTCATAAAACACACCAGGAGAAATCTTCAGCAAATACCAAAAGGGATACCATTAAGGAATGAGAAACATGTAATGATTTTATTTTGCATTAAACATCATCCCCTCTCCTGGTCTTCATGCCCATGAAGTCAGACATGCACACACATCACAGAGTAAAGAGAGATGATAGGATTTTTTTTTAATATATAAAAAAAAGATGATTGTTGGGAACTTGGACAGAGTTGTTTTGTATTTTGATGTGATTTTTGTTTAACATTGAAGTTAGCACAGATAAACAGAGTAAGACAGAAAGTAAGGAAGGAAGATAATTAAAAGAGAAAAAATGCAAAGGAGAGAAAGTTAAATCATAGCTTAAGAAAGGATTCTGGAATGTTTTCTATTTGAGAAAGACAGTTAATGGAGATAAGGCATCTAAATTAATGTTTTAAATAGCTGATTCCTTTGAAGACCTGAGTGTACAATTTACTAGCTGGAGGGCATTTAACCTCTGAGTTTCATAGAGTTATGCAATGCATAATTAATAGAGTTCACAGATTGGAGAGAGTAATCAACCCCATTGCACACACAGTGCAAATGGCACAAGTAATGATGGTTGTGATAGTGACAAATGTTCCATCTTGATTACAAACCTTTATCTGCTTTTCAATATATAATTCATGGACATTATGTCATAAAACAAATCATTTTAAGACAGTGAAATTTTCTCCTAAAATATATATATATATATGTTACATTTCACACTACAGATTCACACCTCTGAATTGTAGAAAACACCATACCATAATAAATTACAACAAACATATATGCATTTCAAAAATGTAAGCATGCTTTTAGTCATAGACAGCTTAGTATATCACAGGCATTATATAAATAGCAACTGTTACAATCATAATTAAAGAATTACATGATATTAATTTGAAGAGCAAGAGTCTCTAACATGGCTCTCTCCTTTTTGTTGATCTCTCAATTCAAGTTCAGACTCCCTGCCTCCAATAATATAAGCAAGTACAACCAGAACTGGAAAAATACAGATACAAAGGGCATGGGTGACCTAGCTTAAAGTGGTCATACTACTTGGTCAAGAATATTATGGTTGATTACTTTCTGCAATCTATCAATTGAACATAAGCTTCAAGTATTATCTTCCCCAATGTCCTTTGACATTTTTTTAAATTTAATATCTACTCAGCAGACACTTTCTTGAACATCTATTATGTGCCAGAAACTGTACTATAATAAATAAAGCATTATCCCTCAAGGAGTCACCAGTTCAATGGCAGAATTTTAAATATCTAAAAGATTTAATGACTCAACAGAGCAATTTAGCTATGAGCTTTAGGAAACTACACAAGACAAATAACTTGTTTTCTCAACCAAACAAAAAAGAGATGGAAGAGAAGCCTATCAAAAATAAGGGATTCTAAATCAATTAATCACTGCATGTGGAAGTTAGTTAATTAGCTCCTGATTCAAGCAAATAGCCAAAAACACATTTATGACTTGTATGAGACAATTGGAAAATTGAAGACTGGGGATATGTAATGATATTAAGAATTGTTTTGTTAATATTTAGGTGTTATATATATATTGTTACATTTTTAGAGGTTATTATTTAGAGACATATGCCAAAAGAATTACAGATGAAATTGATAATGTGTCTAAGATTCATTTAAAAATAAAGAGGCAGAGTTATAGGAGAGGGTAGAGATAAGATTGGCCTGAGTTGATAATTGTTGACCCTGGAAGATGGAGACAGAAGAAACTATTATAAAATTCTGTCTACTTTTTGTATATGAATTACATTTTTATATTTTCCACAGTAAAATTTTTTTAAGTTGGCATAAAGGGAAGAGAAGGAAGCTGAAGAAGACCCCATAACCAAACCACGTTTCATTTCATTGATTTCCTAACAGGAGAGCAGAAAAGAAGAACATCATCCTAAGGGTCAGTTTTGCATTTGGTGAAAAAATCAACTGAGAGTAAGAAATATTTTCATAGACTATAGGTCTTTCCTTTAATCCTATTACCAAGATGGCCAATGTTCCTCAAAACCAAAGGAACTGATCCTCAGGACAAAGGGTAGAGACCCAACAGATCTAAATGAAAAATATGCTCATATATAGACTAAAATTACACTAGTGCTCTTCCTCCCTCTAGTGAAATGGAAGAACTTAAGAAAAATACTCATAGAGATTGACATTTAGGGGTCTTGCAATAAAATGTTAAGACTCCACAATAAAATCCACCAGTCAATAACCAATCCAATCAATGTTTAATTAATTGCCTCACTTTTAAAATATAAATTTTTGAGAGCCAAGAATAACCAGAAATTTAAGAAAAGGCTCTAAAAATATTTTTTTGTTGTTGTTAAAAAACAAAAACAGCCCTTGCCAATGTGGCTCAGTTGGGTGGACATCATCCCATTACTAAAAAGTTGCTGGTTCTATTCCCGGATGGGCACATACCTAGGTTGCAGTTAGGGACTTGGTCTCTGTGCATACAATACCTGTTCTGGTCAGGGCATGTGTGATCTTCCCATATCAGAGACAACCAATTGATCCTTCTCTCTTGCATCATTGTTTCTATCTCTCCCTTTCTCTCTCTGTATAAGCAATGAAAAAATGTCCTTGGGTGATGGGGAAAACAGAAAAAGTAACTTTGAAGAAAGTTTATGGAGCAAGCAGAAGAAAGTATACTAGTAAGCAACTATAATATCCCCAGATAAGAAAAGATACTGCATCTATGGAAGAAGAGCAGATATACCATGAAAAGAGGATACTATCCTGAGGCCAAGAAAGAGCTCTTGAAAATTAAAAACATGCTCTAAATTATTCAATAAACAGTTTTGAAAATAAAATTGTAAAAATGTCACCCCCAAATAGAAAAAAAATGAGAAAAGATAAAAATACAAAAAATTAAAATCTAATATCCAATTAATAGGAGTTCCAGAAAATGAAAAAATAAAAATGAAATTATCAAATAAATAATACAAGAAAATATATATAGAAATGGACAAATCCCAAATGTATGGTGCAATGAATTTTCTCAAAGTGAATACACCCATGTAATCACTACAGAGATCAAAGAATTGCCAGCACCTCAGAAACTACCCTCATGTCTCCCTCAGTCACTACACACTACCCCTCCCCAAAGAGAATTACTTTCACAACTTCTATTCACCATAAATTAGTTCAGACTTTTTTCTTCTTATAGTATGTAAGCAAAATCATAAAAGTACAATTGTGCTTTTATGCATTTACTCATTCAACATTATATCATCCATTTTCTAGTGTGGCAGTAGATAATTATTTTTAAATTGCTATGAACTATTACCTTGTATGAATATACCATAATTTATCTGTCCTTTCTATTGCTGTTGGACAGTTGGATAGCTCCCAATCTGGGAGCTATGGGGTAATGACAAATAATGCTGCTATGAGTGTTCTTATAGATGTCTTTTATTGCACAGATGCACATTTATGTTGGCTATATACCTCAGAATGAAACTGCTAGGTCATATGATTGTATATATTTACTTTTAGCATAGATTGCCAAATCATCTCTAAAGTGATATACTAATATGCATTCTGACCAGCTACATATGAGAGAGTACTAGTGGTTCTACATGCACACCAGTACTTGACACCATGGTTAAATTTGTATTGTTTAATAATGATGTTGAACTCTTTCTATATACTTGGTAGCTAGTTGGATTCTCTTTTGTGAAGTGCCTAAGTCTTTTGACCATTTTTCTATTTGGTTATCATTGATTTATAGGAGTTCT